TTTCGATACAGTGACTCAGTATATTCTTTCCATCTTCTTTTAATGCTTCCTGGATCATTTAACATTTTGCCGAAAGCATCCTTGATTATAGAAACTCAAGGTTTGAATTTGTTCTTCGGTTCCTTGAGTTTAAGAAATGCTGAGATTGCTGAGATTAAAACTGAGATTGTACACAGCTTTAGTTTGCTTGGCTCCACAGTCAACACTCTTGGCACCAGTAGTCAGGAAATTGAAAGGCGCATTGCCATGGGAAAGTCTGCTGTTAGTGACCTCTCCAAAGTACTGAAGAGCAATGGTGTCTCCCTGGATACTAAGGTGCTTTTGATACAAGCCATGGTCTTTGCAATCACTTGTTATGCATCAGAGAGTTGGACAATGACAAGGGAGGATAGAAGAAGAATTTATGCCTTTGAGCTGTGGTGCTGGAGAAGAGTATTGAGAATACCATGGACTGCTAGGAAAACAAACAGATGTGTCCTGGAAAGGGTTAAACCGGGTGGATCCTTGGAGGCAAGGATTCTGAGGTGCCGTCTAACATACTTTGGACATGTTGTGAGGAGAGACCGGTCCTTGGAGAAGGACATCATGTTTGGGGGGGTGGAGAGACAGCGCAGGAGGTGAAGGCTCTCTATGAGGTGGATTGATTCAGTGACTGGGATAATCATGATGGGAGTGTCAGAGACAGTGCGATTGGCACAGGAAAGAGCAGAGTTTAGGGCTGTTGTACATAGGGTCGCCATGAGTCTCAAGCGACTCGACGGCACATAACAACAACAATAGCACTAACACAATACACAAACAAAATCCTGCTGAAGATATCCAAGAATGACTGGAATAGTTAATTGACAGAGAACTACCAGAAATACGAGCTGAGTTTAGAAGAGACTGTGCCTGAGAGACATCATAAGTCAATGTGAGAAAGTTCTTACTTGAAAGGAAAGAGTAGCAGAAGGATGTATATCTGTGTTTTATTGACTATTCAATGGTGTTTGACTGTGTAGATGACAACAAATTGTGGCTAACACTGAGAATAATAGAAATCCAAGACTCTTGATTGTGCTCATGTGAAACCTATACTTAAACCAGGAAGCAGTTGTCAGAATAGTGCAAGGAAAGGCTGCCTGGTTCAAAATCAAGAAAGGAGTCCATCAGGGATGTGTCTTGTCCCCCTATATTGTCAATCTGTATGTGGAATAGATTATTCAGAAGGCTGTACTTTATGAGGAGGAATGTGACATCAATATTGGGGGAAAATTCATCAACAACCTGCAAATGGCACAACTTTTCTTGCCAAAACTGAAGAGGATCTGAAGTGTTTACTATGTGAAGTCAAGAACTGTCATCTTCAATATGGATTGAAGCTCAACATCAAGAAAACAACAATTATCACCACTGGGCCAATTGGCAGCACCATCATAGAAAAGATTGAGATTGTTAATAATTTCAGCTAGCTTGGGTCTACAATCAACTCTCTTTTCATCAACAGTGAGACAAAGTTCATTGTAGAAGTCTTCTGTCAGAGACCTATCCAAAATACTAAAGATCAATCATGTCAGTTTAAAAACTGAAGTGTTCCTGATTTAGGCTATGGTCTTCAGAATTACTTGCTGTGTATCAGAGAGCTGCACAGTGACTAAGGATGGCCAGAAAAGAATTGATGCCTTTGAGTTGTGGTTCTGGAGAAGAATATTGAACATACTATGGACTACCAGGACAACAACTAAATCTGTCTTGGAGAGAGTGAAACCAAGTTTCTCCTTAAGGGTAAAGATTTTAAGCTCCATTTCACATAATTTGGGCATGTTACCAGGAGGGTCTAGTCCATGGGAAAGGACATCATGCTTGGAAGGGTGGAAGGACAGCATAGGAGAGGAAGATCCCAGATGAGATAGTTTGATAGGCTAACTGAGATAATGGGTTTAGGTATATTGGAATCAGTGAGACTGGCTCAGGACAGAATAGGGTTCAGAACTATTGTATGTAGGATTGCTACATTATTGCACATTTTTATCCCCTTCTTCTCCGTTAGCCCACCTCATAATGCACCCCTTGTTCCAGATTATTCTCATAGATAAATTGTCTAATCATATATTTCTTTCAAACAGTTCTTCCCTCTTCTGTTCTAATGCAATAATTATCTCCTCTTTCCCATTCTCTCTTCAATTTTCCCCACCCCATATCTGTCCTATTTTATAACAACAGTGTTATGCGGTATGTATCCTTTTGTTTCTGAGATATTTCACTTAGCAAAATGTCCTCAAGGTTCCCCAATATTGTGTAATATTTTACTATTTCATTATTTTCCAATGCTGCTTAGCATTCCATGGTAGGGATGTACAATAGTTTTTATTTATGTTTCCCATTTGTTTATTGATGCACACTTGAGTTGCTTCCATCTCTTTGCTATTGTGAATGATGCTTCAATAAACATGGATGTGTATACATCTGTTTGAGTTGTGGCTCTAGTCTCTTGAGGATATAGTCCCAGTAGTGGAATTGTTGGGTCAAATGATATTTCTATTTCCAACTTTTTGAGAAAGTACCAAACCAATTTCCTTAGTAGTTGTACCATTTTACATTCCCACCAGCAGTGAATAATAGTTCCAATCTCTCCGCAACCTTGCCAGCATTTTATTTGCTGCCCTGTTGAAATTTGTTATTGTGGCTGGGATGATACAATATCTGCTAGTTGTTTTGATTTGCATCTCTCTGAAAGGGATTTTGGACATTTGTTCCTGTGTTTATTATCTGAGTATCTTTTTGGTGAAGTGTCTGTTCATATCTTATGCCCATTTTGTGATTGGACTATTTACCTTTTTCTTGTTGAAGTGCTAGAGTATCGTATAATTTTTAGATAAAAGTCCTTTATCAGATATGTCTTGGCCAAATATTTTTTCCCCAATCTATGTGTTTTCTTCTTACCATGTTCGAGAACTTTTTTAATATGCACAGGGATTTAATTCTTAGAAGGTCTCATTAATTTATTTTATTCTTTCCTGGTTGTAGACTTTTCATTATACTATGTATTAGGGCTTCTGAAGTTCTTTCTAGGTTTTCTCTAATGAAACTTATAATCTTTGATTTTACATCTAGGTCCATGATCCACCTTGAGCTGATTTTTGTATAAAGTGTGAGGTTTAGGTCTTGCTTAAGTTTTCTGCAGATTGTTTCTAAATTTTTCAGTACCATTTGTTAAAGAGATTACTCTTTCCCCACTTAACTGATTTCTGTTTTTTTGCCAAAGATCTGTTGACCGTGGATGGATAAGCTGATTTCTAGGTTCTCAATTCTATTCCATCGATCTATATGTCTGTTGCAGTACCATTACCATGCTTTCTTGACCACCAACAGCTATATATTAAGATTTACAATCAGGAAGTGTGATGCTTTTGTTCCTTTTTTTCTGTAGTGTTTTGCTTATACGGGTTCTCATTCCATTCCAGGTAAAACTGGAAATTGATTGCCTGTTCATGTCATGCAAAATGGAACTGGTAACTATATTGTCTTAAGAACATATTTAAACTTTGTTGTTTTGGCTTCTTTTCTAGTCCTGATAACAATAGTGTGACAGCTCGGATATGGCTAGTTTTTAAGGCTTCCGCATCAAAGAAGGAAAATACAAGAAGAAGAATTGAAAGTATCTTACAGCAGATGCTCAGGAATAATACAGGATCTGTTACTGCTGATCCTAATTCTCTCAAACTTGAAGGTAAAAGCTTATGCATTAGATGGGGATAGTAGTATTTTCATCTCTAACATATATGACAAACTCTAGGCATAAATCTAATCCTTAAAATATAATCTCTGCAAGTGTAATTAGAAAGAAAAAATTTTTAAAAAGACATACTTTTATAATTTAATTAATCATTATTTCCAAGCAACATGATTATTTGTATTCTTTGTTGTTTTGGTTTTTTTTAAAAAAACAACACATTCAAGTATCAATAATATTAGATTTTAGCTTTGGGGGGAAATCTACTTCTCATTCTAAAGATATGTTAAGACTTTAAAAGTTCTTCTAGGTAATAATGTGTCTTACTATGCTTTTTTATTAATCTGCTTCTTTAAAAAAACAGTATTTGGCCTGCTATTCTATGTCAGGCCACATTCTACCTTATATTTGCATGCTGATAGGATTCAATTTTGCTTGTGCAAATGCCCTCTTCTACTAAGGAAAGCCATTGATAGTTTTCTACTTTAGTGTAGAGTGTGAGTCTAATGAAATAAGTCTCTTATTATATATCAAATATAATTGATATTCAATTATCAAAATAGGATTTCCATATCTAATATGCACAGGCATTAGAAGAACAATCCCAATAAACCAACAAATGGCACTTTCTTCTTGGATTTTAATGATTTCTTCATATTTCTGCTGTGCTGGAGTTAATATTTTGCTTCACTGGCCTTAGGGGTAGTGGGCACATCTTATGTGTAAAATTTACTGTAGACTTTTTAAATTTTACTCTGTTTCAGAAATCAGTAAATCTGAAGCTGAAAAGATGATCAACAGCCGTAAGTGCAGATACTTTCTAATTCAAAATATAAGATGATTTAAAACACATGATAACTCCAGATTAGCTACTCTTGATTGGGAAAGTTCAAAATGCTTTATATATAATAATAAATTTTTTGTTACTGTTATATGCCCTCAAGTCAGAATTGACTCATAGTTGACCTTCTAGCAGGTTTTCAGAGACTATAAATCGCATGGTAGGAACTTGCCTATCCTTCTCTTACAGAGCAATTGGTAAATCAGAACTGCATGCCTTTGGAATTGAAGCATAATTCTCTGCTACTACGCCTCACTATCATCTTAGAGATGTTGTTGTTGTTGTTGTTATGTGCCATCAAGTTGCCTGCAACTCCTAGTAACCCTATGCACAACAGTCCTAAACCCTGCTCTATCCAGTGCCAATCTCACTGTCTCCAACATACCTACCCTCATTAACCCAGTCACTGAATCAACCTACCTCATAAAGGGTCTTCCTTTATTGCACGATCCCTCTACTTTTCCAAACATGATATCCTTCTCCAAGGACTGGTCCTTCCTTGCAACATGTCCAAAGTATGTCAGATGAAGCTTCAGAATCCTTGCCTCCCATGCAAAAGGATCTGAAGCACAAAAAAGAAAATAATTTGATGAAATCAATTTGGATTAGATGATGGGACCAGAACTGAAAGTCATAGAGTAAAACCTTATTTGGACTACTTTCTGTAGTTTAAGAACTTTCCAGGTACAAAGGTATCTTTTCAGTGTTGTTAGGTGCTGGCAAGTTGGTTCCCACTCAAAGTACAATGGACAGAAAAGTTGGCCAATCATGCACCATCCTCACAATCTCTGTAGTTTAAGCCCACCTCTTGCAGTCACTATGTCAATTCATATTATTGAAAATATGTGTCTCTTACACTAACCCTCAGCTTTTCCAAGCATAGTGTACTTTTTTAAGGTATGATACCTCCTGATGTTATGTTCAAAGTATGTAAGATAACATTTCATAATCTTTGCTTTTAAGGACAACTCTGGCTTCATTTATTCCAAAACAGATTCATTTGTTCTTTGGGCAGTCCATGGTCTATTAATATTCTTTGCCAAGACCACAATTTAAAGGCATAGATTCTTCTTTGATCTTCGTAATTCATTGTCCAAGGTTTCTTAAAGACACTGTATTGAGTACAGGTGGTACATGGCCTGCTATTGATTCCTATACAGATGATATTCTATATCTACCAGTGTAAAACATACTCAGATAAGGCTATAGAAGGACATCCTAGCTCACTTTCTACTTAGTAATCAAACACATGTTACCTTCTTACTTTCAATAGAACTAACCTGACCTTTTGCACAGGCTGTGGGAGGCGAGCCAGAATGTCAGCTACATATGATAGAGTCAAGGGAGGCTCCACAGCCCAGGAAGGAGAATGGCCCTGGCAAGCAAGTCTCAAGAAGAATGGCAGGCACTACTGTGGAGCATCTTTAATCAGTGACAGATATCTGGTAACCGCAGCTCACTGCTTTCAAAAGTAAGTTCATTTTCTCACCAAAGCTTAAGTGACCATAGACCCTGAGTTAATTCCAGTTTACATGATTCTCATCTCTCATCATTTGGCTCTTAAGCTCACAGTTGTTAGTACACAGTATCTTGTTTCATGCATCCTATCCTTCATATAAATTGTCTTATTTGATCTCTTCTGCTCATGTGTAAGACAAATATGACTCATAAATTTTTTTTCCTTGGTATACAATTCCTCCCCCACAAGCTCCCAACCACCATCCTGAGTATACTCCACTCTGCAACCTTCGTCCCGGACTCTTAGGATAATCATAATACCCTATAATATATTGCTTTTGAACTCTTTTCTCCCTCATCCGTTTCAATGCAGTATACATAATTTATCCAGTGTTTCTCATTCTTACCCCAACCATGATGTCAGTCCCATTCTATAACAGTGGCACTATACAGTGTTTGTCCCTTTATGACTGAGATATTTCACTCAGCATAATGTCCTCCGGGGTCACTCATTTTGAATAATATTGCATGATTTCCTTGTTTTTCAATGCAGCATAGTATTCCATTGTGTAACTATACTCAGCTTCTCTATCCATTCATTTGTTGATGGGCACTTAGGTTGTTTTCAACTCCTTGCTATAGTGAACAAAGCCATGATAAACATGGGTGTGCATATATCTGCTTGGATGACGGTTATGATCTCATTAGGGTATATTCCCAGTAGTGGAATTGCTGGGTCAAATGGTATCTCTATTTGCAACTTTTGAGAAAGCGTCAAACCGCTTTCCACAGTGGTTGCACCATTGTACACTTCTACCAACAGCGAATAAGGGTTTCAGTTTCTCCACAACCTCACCAGCATTTGTTGCTTGCTGTTCTGTCAAACTTTGCTAGTCTTACTGGAGTGAGATGATAGTGGTGTTGATTTGCATCACTCTTAGAGCTAGGGATTTTGAAAAATTTTTCTTCTACTTTTCAAAGAGAAGAGTGAACTGGGGGTATGGGGGTGGGCGGGGAGAAAAGTGCAACAATGAATGAATGGAAATCCAAAATCTCAGTAAATGTTCATTAAAATTAATTTAAAAAATGAACTTTTTACAGTATTCTTTTACCACATTATTACTTTGCAAAAAATTATATAAGGTATTGAGCAATATGGCATTATAGTAATAAGAAATTTCTTTTGATTTTCATGTTGATAGCTATTCATTTTCTCCAATAACTATTGTATTTGATTTTTAAAGTTAGAAATTGTAAAAAATAAACTGATTATAAAAAAAAAATCCTATCTGAAGTTAACTTTTTAAGCCAAACAACAGGCAAGGTTATAAAGTGAATTGTAATACCAGGAAGGAATGTAGTCACTCATCAGTATAAACTAGCATACAAAACCAGAAGGGCAACATGCCACCAGGGATAAAGCTCAAAAGAGTAGAAGGGACAGGAAAGAAAGAGGAATGGAAAGGAGGCCAGAGAGGGGTGGGAAGTACTGTTACAGTGAAGAGACTGCAACCAATGTTACAAAACAAAAGGTATAGAAACTGTTGGATGGAAAACTAATTTATTCTACTAATTTGACCAAAACTACAATAAAATAAGAAAAAGAATAGTATTGGCTGTGAATTTTTTTAAAATAAAATTTTATTTTAATTGTTATTTTAACAAACATTTATAGAGAAGTTAGATTTTCATTCATTGTTACACATTTTACACCCTCTCCCTTGCTTCCCACTCCTCCAGTTCACTTTTTAAAAAAAAAATATTCAATCATTGCTGCACAATAACCTACCTCCCCCCACCCCCAGTCCTTTCTTATTCTAGGCTGCTGTCATACATATAATGCCTAATCAAAGTCCTTGCGTTTACAAATTTAAATGCTACTGCTCTGTGGTCCAACTAATAGTTCTATGTAAAACTATTTAAATAGTTGCATAAATTTGCATTTAGGTTTTAAGCTTCTTAGTAAGTATGGTCTGTTTTCAATTACAGATTCTTGTATATTTTTAGGTAGAGCTCTGGTAGTGCAGTGACTAAAACTCCTGGTTAAGTGGTTCAAGCTCACTAACTGCTCCAAAGGGGAAAAAAATGAGGAAATTAGCTTCTAGCAAGATTTACAGCCTAAAAAGCCTCTGTGGAGCTGTTCTACCCTGCCCTGCACCTTGACTGTGAGTCAGAATTGACTCTGGTTGTGAGTTTGGTTTGGTTTATTGCCTGACGTAGTGGATGGTGTAGAGACTGAAATAAGATTTTTAAAAATTAAATTTAATGTTTAGAATATATCACTTCTCATGGATTATAGAGGGAACTCTGATGGCCTACTGGTTGAGCTATTGGCCTGTCAACTCAAAGGCAGGCAGTTTGAATCCACTAGCTATTTCAATCCAACAGTTGCTCTGTGAAAGAAAGATGAACAGTCTCCTCCTGTGTGATTTATAGCCTCTGAAAATTGGGTGGAGGATCAGGAACGAGTTAGTGTGACTTCATGGCATTGAACAGCAACAATATAGATTATAGAGGGAGCTGTAGTGGTACAGTCTGTTTTTGTTGTGGTGGTGCCAACAAGTCAAGTGTACAACTCACAGTGACGCTGTGAACAACCGATCTGAATCTAGTCCTATCCTGTGCCATCCTCGCAATCTCTGACACATACAAGCTCAATGCCCCAGTCACTGTGTCTATCCACCTGACTGAGGGTCTTCCTCTCCTCTTCTCCTTCATCTCCCCAAGCATAGTGTCCCTTTTCAAGAAATAATCTGTTCTAGCAACATGCCCAAAAAAGAAGCTTCATCATCCTTGTCTCCAAGGAGCACTCTGGCTGCATTTTCTCTAAGACATGTCTGTTTGTTGTTTTAGCAACCCATGGGATAGTCAGCATTCTCCCTCTCCCTTGATGGCAATGAGAGTAAGTGAAGGAATGGGTTATAGAGTGAATAATTTTTGATGCCATGAAATGAGAATAAAGATGCAGAGAATATTTCTATTGTTTTAAATAAAGACAAAACACATGTTTTTTATTCTTTTTTTTTTTCTCTTTAAGGACACTAAATCCAGCAAACTATACAGTCAGCTTTGGCACTAGAGTAAACCCTCCCTACATGCAACATTATGTTCAAAAAATAATTATTCATGAAGACTACGTCCGCAATGAACATCATGATGATGTTGCACTTATACAACTCACTGGAAAAGTTTTATTTAATAACAACGTACATAGAGTTTGTCTTCCTGAAGCCTCTCAAATTTTCCCAGCAGGTGAAGGTGTTGTTGTTACAGGATGGGGAGCACTTTCTTATGATGGTAAGTCTAGTTAAAAAAAAAAAAAGAAAATAATATATTATGAAAAGAATAAGAACACCAACCAAATAAGAGAAGTTAATAACAGAGGTGTGGAGTTAAAAACATTGTTTATCTCCAGATGGTCAGCAGGATTATAAGGTTATTTATCAGGAAATTGCATATATGGAATTATGATTTTGAAAATGACCTTGATCCAGAGCATTCCAAAGGGGCCCCGATAGCATAGTGGTTAAGTGAACAGTTACTAACTGAAAGATCAGTAGTTTGAAGCTACCAGTTAGCTCTGTGAGGAAAAGATACAGCAGTCTGCTTTCATAAAGATATACAGACTATGAACTTATGATACAGTTCTAGTCAGTCTTTCAGAGTCCCCATGAGTCGAAATCAACTTGATAGCAATAGTTTTGTCATCATGTTTGTTTAGAAAATTCCAGGGGAACTGGTTTGGTTTGGGAATTTCCCTAACCTAAAGGATCTAGTTCAAAAAGTTCTAGTCAAAACTAGAGCTTTTTCAACTAGGTCCTTCAGGTTAGGGAAATTCCATGTAAAAGATAGATAAGGGCATAGGAGAGATGCATGAGGAAGATATATCAAACTATACTTTTTAAAAATGTTTTTAATTTTTATTTATGTATTCATTTATTTTTTTTTGTGTGTGTGGAGTACCGTCAAATTGGATCTGACTGGTACAGGAGGAGATTGTCCCTCCTTCTCCAGCAGAGCATCTGGTGGAGTCGAACCACGTACCTCTGTCAAACTATTTTCTTTTTCTTTTTTTTTTTTAAATAAAAAATTGAATGAGCTTTTTTTTTAAAAAAAATTCCTAATAGGCAAGAGCCAATATATATCTTAGGCACAGAAAACAAAGCGCAGAGCAACTCCTTACTGACAATGCCTATTTCTTCAGGTGAATATCCAGTTTTACTCCAAAAGGCATCTGTGAAGATTATTGATACAAACATTTGTAATTCTAAAGAGGCTTATAATGGTTTGGTTAAAGACACAATGATATGTGCTGGGTACATGGCAGGAAATATTGATGCCTGCCAGGTAAGTTTCAATACTATTCATACTCATCACACGCTATATAAAATAATTGCTATTATTTTATGGAAGTCATTCATGTGAAGACAATTCTAAGCTTCAATTAATTTGTACCTCAACAAGCCTATCAAATTCCTGTCAGCTTTGCCACTGGCATAATTCTTTTCTGCACGCAGCATGTATTTATATGTTTTTAACTAACAATTTATGCTTATTATGAGCAAAGCACTTTAATCTACACCACAACCTTAGTGAGTATTACTATTATAATTTTATAGATGAAGAAACTGAAACAAGATATGTTAGCTACTTTGCACAAAGTCACAGTTTGTAAGTGGTAGAGAATCATACAATCCCAGGGAGTCTAGTATCACTTTTCCTAGTATTTACTATATTTCAATAGAAAATCAATCTCAGAAAAGCTTTTATTATTTCATTCTCAGTTCCTCTTAACTCCTCACATCCACTTAATTTCTCACCCACTCATGTCTTTTCTCAGATTTGATACCCTGTGTTCCATGTATACGCATATTGTATGTATCCCAAAAGTTTCCTAACACAACTCAACCTAGTTATTTATCATTCCATGACTTCAAACTTAAGACATATCCTAAAGAGCTTCCGTGAACATAGTTTGATCAGTAATATTTGATATTAAGGGCAAAACAAGAATTTATACCTTCTCATGACCATGAAGTCTCTAGGAAGCATCAATTATTAACTTCATATTTAGTACAAGTTAAATATCTGAAAGTATGCTCTCATAATAATAAATATTTTTTGTTTAATACAGGGTGACTCTGGAGGACCCCTAGTTCACCCCAATTCCCGAAATATTTGGTATCTGGTTGGAATAGTGAGCTGGGGAAATGAATGCGGTAAAATCAATAAGCCAGGAGTCTATATGCGAGTGACCTCCTACAGGAAATGGATTGCCTCTAAGATTGGTGTCTAAAGAAAAATATCTTGTAACAACTCTTATGGGTTCTTTTCACCTGCTGCTCCTAAGACTTATTGATGTGTATTTTTAAGTAGTGTGGAAAATTTCTATTTTGGAAAAAAAAATATATATCTATCTTTGAGGGAGTATTTATGAACTGTAATTTTAAGCAAATGCTATAGACTATATCAATGTTGTTTGTTTTCTGTCTTAATAACTCAGATTGTGGCTAACTTGCCATAGTACAAAACATTTGGTTATAGTCATTCAATCTTTCTAGACTTAAGGAAGTAAATATTTGTCCATAGCAAGTTAGCATATGTCACTCTGTGAGACTGGGATAAAATACTTAACGAAGACTGGGAAGAAACATGCTGCATTTGTCTTCAAGCTATTACTTTACTGAAGAGATGTGACCTAAACCAGGTCAGAATTTTCACAATGAATTATAATCCCTTATTGGTGCTGAGATCTTGGTCAACTCTTGCAATCATTGTGAAATAAATTTACCTCCTAAGCAAAAAAAAAAACCCTAACCACCCCAAAGTTGATTTTTTAAAAACCCCAGAACTAATCTAAAAAACAAAAACCTATTCTAGACTTAACAGAGACAATGTACAGTGATACTTCAGTGCTAATGTAGGTTACTGTGTAAATTCTTCATTTGTAACGTATATAAAAGCAAGTAGCTATGAAATAAAACAATACGTAATATATTTTAATTAAAATGAATTTAAAAGTGAACTACATTCTTCTTTCTTTTTTTTAACACTAATCAAGTCTTTTATCCTTTCCCACTCTCTTTTGTCTGTAAAAATAAGCATTTTTATTTCCATTTGGTCTTGTTGTTGTTAGATGCCATAGAGTTGTATATGACTCACAGTGACACTATAAACAACCAATCTGGATACTATCTTATCCTTTGCCATCCTCACAATCTCTTGACATGTTCAAGCCCATTGTTGCAGTCACAGTGTCAACCCACCTGATTGACAATCTTTCTCCCTCTCGCGATCCTTTCACCTTCCCAAGCATGATGTCTCTATCCAATAAATAACTTCTCCTAGCGACATGCCCATCATCCTTGCCTCCAAGGAGAAATCTAGCTGTACACTCTCCAAGACACGTGTGTTTGTTCTTCTGGTAGTCCATGGTATTTTCAGCATTCTTCTCCAACACTATGGTTCAAAGTCATCAGTTCTTCTGTCACCCTTAGTCATTATCCTTGATCTAGGGCTTGGAAAAAGGCTCCAAGGTGGTTAAAGAATATTTAAAAGGTCCAGGCTGATAATGAAATGTACAGGTAACCAGTTACAATAGGAGTAGAGAGGGTACTGAATACATGGGACACTGTCTACAACCTGAGTGCCTCGGAGTAATTCTAAATTCAAGATTAATGCTGTTGTTAAGTGCTATCAAGTAGAGTAAGTATAATTTATAGTTTCCCTATGAACAACTTAATTCTATTCTGTATCATCCTTACAGTATCTGACATACTCAACTTCATTGCAGCAGTCATCGTGTCAATCCACTTGTTGAAGGTCTTCCTCTTTTTCACCAGCCATCCACTTTTCCAAGCTTAATGTGTCTCTAAGGAATAGCCTCTTTTAGTAACATGCCCAAAGTACGTGATATGATGCTTTGCCATCTTTGTCTCCAAGAAGCACTCTGGCTTCACCTTCTCCAAGATATATTTGTGCTTTCAGCAGACCAGACCTTTTCTCAAATACCATGTTTCAAAAACATTAATTCTTCTTCTGTCATTTTTAGTCATTGTTCAGCTCTCAGATTAATAGAAATTGTTTCTAAACTGCTATGGCCTGAATCAGGCACACCTTAGTATTCAAAAAAGACATCATTGCACCTCAATAATTTGGAGAGTTCCCAGACTGTACATTTCTCAAATATAGCACATCTCCTGATTTTCTGTCTGCTGGTACCAAGTATGTACTGTATGCTGAGATTATTATTCAAGGAGCTGGACTTTATGAAGAAGAATGTGGTGTCAGAATTTGAGGAAGTCTCATCAATAACCATCGTTATACAGGTGTTATACTTGGCTTGCTGAAAAGTGAGAATGATTTAGAGTGCTTGGTACAGAAGACCAAACACTGTAGCCTTTGTAACAGATTGCATCTCAACATCAAGAGAACAAAAATTGTCCCTACTTGATAAATATACAATATCACAATAGATGTACAAACCATTTAAATTGTGAATGACTTAATCTTACTTGGATCACAATCAAGATGAACAGAATGTAGCAAAGACAAATAAGTCTAAGTGCTTATTCAACTCTTTGCTTTTTGTTTTTTAATTGATTTGCTAACAAAGATTTTATATGTATATATATATATATATATATACACACACACATATAGTGTTTCACACTATTTTTCATTCATATTATGTTTCATACAATCATTCTCATTCATTAAGTTTTATAAAATTAATCACCATTGAACTAATTGAACTATGCCCACCGTTACCCTTTTCAGGTCTCTACCAGATCTTTCTCATTTTCTTTATCTCCTGCCTCCAGACATTATTCTTTTTTTTTTTCTCATCTGCCTCATTCAGGTACCTTTCTTGCATCTGAATGCATGAAAGTGTTGCCTTGGAATAGTAATCCATATCTCTTCTGGTGATTCCTTGGACTTATACAAGGGGCAAATATCCCACACTGCAATTCCTTACTATAACACTGAACATCTACCATTCTTGAAGAGTCATATTGGATTATTAGAAATTGCTCATTGTTGCTCTTTTCAAGTATTTCATACTTGCCATACCTTAGATATACAAATGTCCCCTCTTCCCAAAGGCTAAGATTTGATGGCAAGGATTCTGGTCCTGCTTGAGAATAACACCTATCCAGGTGGTGTTGGATATGGCCAACCTGTGTAGTTTAATCAAACTTCTTCATAAATTTAATCTCCCCATCTAGTAAATGGCTTTCCAGTAAGCCAAAGAGATTTTAATCTCTGTTGGCAGTGCTTAGGGCATAGAACCAGCAGGGGCTGGGTAGCAACTTCCACTGTCCCAAGATGTGACTCCACTTTTTGGGGGGTAATTTATGAATATCATAAAAGATAATTTTGCTTCAGGGCTCGCTTTGTATTTTCAAAACACAGGAGGCAAGCTCATGCTTCTTCTTGGCCAACTTGAAGAAGTAGTCCAAACTGTTCTGCCATGTCAATCTGTTTAAACAGAGACTTGGAGAGGGAGGTATATGAGGGAAGTCCACAGACACAGGTACACCAAGTGGCTGACAGTGACCTCTATATCAAAGGAATTGTTGTGGTAGATATGGAAACCAACCGAAAAAAGATAGTGTTGTCTAGTCTAGAAAGATCAAGATGTCTGAGAAGATGATCCTGGAGGCAATGGTTTGATGCTGTGGAGAAATATAAGGAAAATGGAGGTTTGTACGGATTCTGTCAAATTAAGAGAGATTCATGACTGCTGAATAAAGTGCAATAACATGATACTACATTGTTGTTATATGTTATCTAGTCATTTGCAACTCATAGTGACCCTTTTACAATAGCTCTTAATTCTGCTCTATTCTGAGCCAACTTCATTGTCTCTGACACACTTACTCTCATTATTCCAGTCACTGAGTAATCTATCTTATCCGAGGTCTTCCTCTCCTGTGCTGTCCTCCACCATTCCAAGCATAATGTCCCTCTCTAGGGACTGGTTCCTTCTTGAAACATGTGCAAAGTAAGTTAGACAAAGCTTCAGAATCCTTGCCTCCAAGGAACAGCCTGGTTTCACCCTCTTTAGGATAAACCCATTTGTTCTTCTAGCAGTCCATAGTGTATTCAATACCCTTCTCCAGCACCACAGCTCAAAGGCATCAATCCTTTTTTTTTATGCATCAATTCTTTTATCCTTAGTCATGGTCCAGCTTTCTGATGCATAGCAAGTAATTGCAAAGACCAGGATCAGGCACAACTTAGTTTCTAGATGTTAAGGATCTGAGCAGAAGATTTCAAAGGGCACCACAAAAAGACAAAGCAAAGTATTATAATGAAAAGTGCAAAGAGCTGACATTAGAAAATCAAAAGGAATGAACTCTCTCAACATTTCTTAAGCTGAAGAAACTGAAAAACAAAATCAATCCTTGAGTTGCAATATTTAAGGATGCAGTGGGCAGAATATTGAATGACCTAGGAAGCATCAAAAAAAGTAAGGAATACACAGAGGCATTATACCACAAAGAATTGGCTGACACAGAATAATTTCATGAGACAACATATAATCAAGAGACTATGGTGATGAAGGAGGAAGTTCAAGCTGTTTTGAGGAACTGGCAAAAAACATGTCCCCAGGAATTGATGGCATATCAGTATCAGATGACATATTTTAAAAACAGATACTGCCTTGGATGCACTCATCAAGTTATGCCAAGAAATCTGGAAGACAATCAGCTGGCCAACTGACTGGAAGAGATACATATTGTTTCATTAAAAAAAATAGTTACACAACAGAGTGTGGAAATTCTTGAACAATATCATTAATGTAGCATGCAAGCAAGATCCTGCTGAAAATGGTCCAAAACCAACTGGAAACAGCACAACAGAGAACTGTCAGATGTACAAGCTGGTTTAAGTAGAGGCCAAGATACTAGTGATATTTAGCTATGTTAGATGAATCTTATTTGAAAGCAGAACATTAGAGGAATGTCTAGCTGTGCTTCATTGCTAAGCAAAGGCATTTGTGTAGATTACAGCACACTGTAGCTGACTTTAAGAAAAATGGGAATCCCAGACCACTTGAGTGTGCTTATGCAAAACCTATACTTGGGCCAGGAGGCAGTCGGCTGAACAGAACAAGAAAATGTGGAAAGGTTCAAAATCGAGAAGTGTGTACAACAGGGATGTGTCCTATCTCCATACCTTTTCAATCTATATGCGGAACAAACCCTCCAGAGGGCTGAGCTTTGTGAGGAGGAATGTGGCATTAGGACTGGAAGAACTCATCAACAACCTGTGTTATGAAGATGACAT